TATCAAAGCCCAGATTTTCTTCAGTGTAAGGGCATGAAAATCTGACACTCAGTTTCAAAACCAATGCTTGCAGCTGCATAAGCTGCTGTTTGACATGCAAGTTCTGCATGGTCTTGTTGAGTGCTATTAATGCTACATTTTGAAACTAATAGCACTATGGAAGAAATGGGAATGACTGAAGAACGGTTGGATTCTCTTTAAACATGGTATACAAATATTTACTTCAGAAAATGAAGGAAAATGTGTGGACAGTATCTCATTGAATTGTACAAGATAATGAGAATGTATATACAATTCATAATCAGCTAAAGTAAATCATATCAAAGCTACCCAACAACAGGAAATAATGCAAACTTCTATCTCATCTTTGTAAATCTTTTTCAACAGGGAACTCTGACCAGAGAAGTTGCAACACTAGCCAGAATTAATAATAAAAAATGCTAATTTGGGCTACTGCCAAGCATTCAGCCAATGAGCTCTACAACATCTACCAAAGATCTTCAAGATCTTCAATATTTTTACTCACTTAGACTGCAGATTAAGCTTATCCACAATTTAAATGTGAAGAACTGAGGCAAAGACCTTAAGCAGCTTGCCAAATGTCACATGCTAATTCATCTGCAAAGACAGATAAAAGGAAACTAAGGAGACCACACCTAGAGAGAGGGAAGATCAGAATTGCAGACCCTATTATTCTTGAGTTTATTTGGCTTACCATACCTGGGGTTCACAGATCATATTAGAAAGGAACATTTTCCCCAATAATTGGCTGATACAGGAAAATAAGAACAAGCTGACATTTCCCAAAGTCATTTGTTTCCTGGCAACATCAAACAGACACTTGCTACCAGAACCATAGTCCTTGGAGGTTGACTGACTAAACTAACCTATGTGATCTTTTAGAATTTAAGTTTCTCCTTTTTTATTTAGCTATTGTTTACTACAAATCCCTAGTTCAAACAGCTTAAAACTTAAGCTATTTCATGCATCTAGTAGATTCTGCCATTTGTAAATGTTATTAGACTTGAATATTTAAAAGTCATTCTTCTACTTATTATGCCCTTTAGCATTTTGAGCACTAGAGTTGAACCAAAATTGTCATATAGAAACATTTTTGTGGTGTTACTGCAGATTCTATTAAGACTCAAAACTTATTTCTGAGGAAGCAAATGTACTTCAGTGAGAAGTTCCCATCTAACAAGCCAGAGGTTTGTAAAGTTGTCCTCAAGCCTACATAATGTATTTCACTGCTATTCCACAGATGTAGGCCTCTAATCTCTTTTACTACCAATATACATTCTCACATTGGCCAAAACAAAAACTTACTCAATGATATATTTTACTGAAGATTTGTTATGCAAGCCTGCCAGGGAATGTTGAAAGCAAAATCATATTCTACATGCTACAAAAAGTTTATTGTAAGGCACCAGGGTTTTTGTTTCTTAGTAATTACCCACCATAGCTAAAAATCTTTACTTGTATAAAAAGAAAACAGCTATGTTTTGCATTGTCTAACATATACACTTTTTGGTAGTGGTGGGAGAACTAGCAAGTTGAAACAGATTTTAAGTCTTCAGTACAGACACATCGTTCACACAATTTTCCTCTGCCAACCATACAAATTCGTATTGAGAGCCTCAGACCCATAGAACTGTTGGAAAATATATCACACAAGTTCATTTCTTCATTAAACTAAGTTGCTTGCTTTCAGAAGCATGCAACGTGTTCATTTCTGTATCAGAGTAATATTACATGAGTTCAATCCTCCAAGCTATCAACCCTTGGGATAAAATACAGCTACAAGATGACTAACAGGTCTGCATAAGGGGGGGGAGCCTGAATATTGTAACTGAAAACTTTTTTTAAAAAAAATAAAAATAACATTTTCTTAAATGTTAAAAGCAGCATGGGATTGCTAGTTCTGGTTACACTTTATGCTGCAATTTCTGGATGGTTTACCCTGGAAAATTATTTTCCATCATGGGCAGATTCAAAAATCTGCAAAAGCACATGGTTACAACCCTGTCTGAGCTGTACCATGCACCAGGCAGTTGGGTGAATGACATCTGAATGCACCCTCTGAATGTCAAAGAGATGAGTACATGTAAACTAACCTTAACTGTGGCATGTTAATTTTCTATGTGGAAAGTGGTGGTGGTTGTTCTGATGAGTGCATATCAGCATGTACTACTACTGCTGCTGCATTCTGAAATAGTAAGCCATGGGATATACTTTACCTGAATGGTTAAACTGGCTCTTTGAATTGGCCGTATTCAATTGCTGCATGTAGTGCAAGAGAATTTTTTTGAAAATTATGAACAGGAGACCCTTCTACACATGGTGCTTAAGATAGTGCTTATAGATGGTGCTTAAGAAAGCACAGAAAAATTTAAAGAAAGTCACAAGTTTGTAGAAAATAAAGTACCAAAATGAAGCATAAAGCAGATTTATTCTACAGAAGTACCTAAGCAGATGTTTACAAGGACAATCTGGTTAGGATAGGTATTGATACTTAACTGTCCATGGCAGGCCAAACTTATGCTTGACAGCACTTTGTTTCCCAAACCATACTAATGCATAAATTTGTTCTATTCACAGGAAACAATACTATGCATTAAACCAGTAGTGTTCACTGGGTGTCTCCCATCAACTTGAGAATTTCTACTATTCTTTCCTTAGCTTTTGAGATCTAAAACAGTTCACACATGGTGGCACAGCTGTACATTACCCCAAACTGGCTGCCTTCATCAAATACATATGGTCATTACATACTCAATAAACAGAGATATGTAGTTTTGATCAGTGCCTTTAAATAAATATGAATAGACAATAACAGTTCACTACTTTTCTGTTTAAACACTTTACCTTTTTAGAACTGTGTGCTTGAAGCTACACGAATGGAAGATCTGGGAGACAAGAGGAACTAGCAAACTTTGTTAACTACAATATAAAGAGATCTATTGAACTAAAGATGCTTTGTATGGGGTTAATTCTATGTCTTCTCCACTGCTTTACTTAGAATAAAAATGGATATTTAGGACTCTAACTTCAACATTCTGACTCAGAAGTCAGGAACACAATAGTGTAAGTAAAAAAAGGACATGAAGGCAAATACAGTCTTAGTGGCAAGGTCAAAAAGGATGTGACTATTGACACTGTTATTTCTTGAAGAATAATCAAGAGCCTGTGGCTGATTGCAGTGAAATAACAACTAAAGAAAGGCTGGAGTCAACAAAAGGGGAGAAAAGCCATCCTCCAAAGCCATCTTCATACTTTACTTAGTCAGTGATAAACATTACTTGTTTGTGAAATAATAAATACCCAGGCTAGGAAAATGTTTCTAATTCCCAAGTATAAGACTGAAAATATTAGAGACCACCACTATGTTAAGGCAGCATTTATGTTTTAGGTGCCCAAGGTAACCAGACACTTGAGATAGACCTGCTCAGTACACACTTCAAAAAGAAGTCAGAATAGGGCAAGAAGCCAAAAGAGTCAACACAATTACAGGTATATTGTGATTCAAACCCAAACCCCATCTTCAGCACAGTCTTAACACTGAACTGCTAACCCCTATAGAATACAACCACTGATATTTTTATTTTATGTATTTGTATTAGTCAATGGATGGCCATTACAGAGTGGTTAAAAATATTAGTGCTTATTTATTAGCAGTTGGGGAGGTTCTGCACATTTTGTACATTTCTGAAAAATCTAAAGGTCTTAGCAGAGATATTTCAACATACAGGGAGAAATACCTGCATTACAGCAACACATATTCTTAATCCTAGATGACTTCATACTCCTTATACAGGAGCAGAAATTCAGAAGATAGAGAACCTGCTGTCAATCCAGTATGCAAACATGCTACGCAGAACACTGCAATGTTTCATGAAAGCAAGACAGCCAGTATCATAAAGCCCCCAGGAGTTAAAAGCCAAGGTGAAATCACCTTTCAAAAGGTGGGAGAAGCAATCTTGGCATTTTCTGACAGATATGTCATTCCAACTCTACATCCCCTTCCCCCAGAACCTATTTTCTCCTTTTAAAAGAAGAGGAAAGCTATGCAATAGTGACAAAGGCATATGTAGCAGAATCATAATCCCCCCACACAACAGATTTCTTTAATTAAAAAAACCTCTCAATATATCCATCATCTACAGCTTTTATAAACTGAACACAAACATACACCATCAGCTACCAAACTTTAGCAAAGTGATACCGAATACAATTCTAGAACTGCCTGTGCTGTTTTATTTTTGCTTGTTTTTAAAATCCAGAAATAAAATCCCTGTTCCTGCATCCAGATCTTAAAATATGCTGTGTATTCAAATGGATGGAGAATCAGTTTAAGAGCAACATGTTGCAACCACCTTTCTACAGGGGAAGGTTTTGAAAGAAACAGAACTGGGGGAGGAGAAAAAAAAGGACGAGGTGGGAATAAAAAGGCAGCGAGGAAACTAAACCAAGCTTTGAAAGAACAAAACAAAAGCAAGCAAACAAAAATGACGGTTTTCCCCTTTCGGGGAGAATATTTGGAGCTAGGGTGGTGATTATATCGCATGTTTTCACTGCAGGAGGCTTCTCATGGGCAGCTCGAGGGAGGAGGAAAAGGAGAAAGAGACACACACAGGGAAGAGGCAGAAAAAGAAAATGGCGCAGAGACTAAGTCCCGACCGTCGACAAGGCGACTTTCCAGGGGGGAATCGGAGCCCAAGAGGGCCTCCGAAAAACCAAGCGAGACCGGATTTGGGGTCTCCACTGCCCTCACTACCGAGAAATGAGGTCGGATGGGCTGAGGGCCCTATGATTTCCGAGTATTAGGAAGCTCGATGGGAACAATGGGGCCGATGAGCGAGGAGACGGGACTTAGTCTCTGGGACGCCATGTCTGTCCTTTACCATCCTCGGCAATACAAGAGAAGGGGAAAGAGAGGGAGAAAGGAGAGAAAGCAGGGCAAATCCTACCCACTCCCCAGTACAGAGGGACAAGGCACTCACCATTCGCTCGGAAATCTGGATCGATCTATGGGGGGGAAAGGGAAGAGGAAAAAATACATATATATTTTTTACGAAAACAGGACCTGGGTATGGTTTTATCACACACGCGTTTTTGCCCTGTTCAAGGCAAAACACGAGCCGAGCTGAGGAATCAACCCGGTGGCCCTTAAAAACTGATTCAGGGTTACCCCTTAGCAAAAGCGAGGGGGGGGGCAAATAGAGATCCCCCCTCACTTTCCCCACCCCACCAAAGTTTTCCCATCCTATTTTAATTGCCTTCTTTTTCCTCGTGCGTGGCTCAGTATTCCCAGTAGGATTTTTCCTCAACCTTCCCGCACCGCCCCCCCCCCATTTAAGGGCCCTACGTGCCCTCTAAGCGCTAGGGGAGAAAACGAGAATGAGGAGGGGGGCCCCACACATTTCCCCTCCCCCAAACCCCCCTTCTTTCTGGAAGGAGTTGGGGAAGATTCGGGTTCAGAGAAATGACGAGGGGGGGGGGGTTAGGAGATGATTGATTATAGGCACAGTGTCTACAGGCAATTTGAAAGAAGCCCTGCGAGAGATTAAGGTGTGACTCTCCGCAGGCAAAAGGGGTCACCCCTCAAAGGGGTCTGATGGGATGCGACGGTTTGGGGGAGCAGAGAGAGAAAGAATAAGGTGAAAGGCCTAACTACTATTAAAGGGCCGCAGCCAAATAATTCCGGTAGGAACTGAAAGCAATGAGGCTCTCTCCCTCAGAGAAAAGAAGCCCCCCCCCAAAAAAACCCCTCTTTATTTAGCGCCCCTCCACTATTAAGAAGGGAAATACCTGCTTTTGAGGAAGCTGAGGCAAAAAACACCTTCCCGATATTTATGGGAAGGGGCTAAGTTATGAGGGTGAAGGGCTCTCTTTCCCCTACACCTGAAAGGGGGGGGGATCTTAATTTTTCCCCTCCAGAGGAACTTTAGGCCTCGGTCTCCATCCACTTCCCCTTAAGTACTGTAAAAGAGTAGGAGCCCCCCGCCCCTTACCTGGGAGTCGTTGTGCAGCTGATCCCCACTCATGCCTGTAAAGCAGGGCGGGGGCGGGAAGGGGTAAGCCTCGCAAGAGAGCTTGGGGAGCAGGCAAAGTCTTGAGGCCGACGGGAGAACGCAGCCCCCTCAAACAGCACAGTCAGTTGTGTAACAGACTAAGTCCTCGTTTCCCTTTACTGCGCAGGCGCCGCGACTTTTAAACCGAGGGGAGGGGCTTAGCGAACAGCGGGAGGAGGGAGGGCAAGTTCGGAGGAGAGAACGCCTTCGTTAACATGGCCCAACCCTTCCGTTGCCTCTCCTCCAATCAGCAGGCGCCGTGACTGAGATTTGCATGCTAGCCACGCCCGCCACCTCTTGGTTGGACTCGCCTCCCCGCCCCGGCTACACTTTGTGCCTGATTTGGCCACGCCTCTTCCTTCTCCGCCGTTTACGAAAAATGCCGGTTGCTCCCCCCTCCCCCTCGCGCGTCTCTTCCTTCCTCTCCTCTTAAAAACGCCGGGTTCTATTTACATATCCGGTCACGCCCCTTCCTCCGGCACCAATGAGGCGGCACGAGGCGGACTCGCCTTATTAACATATACAGAGGCGAGTTCTCCCCGCTGAGAGAAAGGTACTTTTTCCGCAGCACGTTGTGCAAGACCCATGGACGCAGTGCGCCTGCGTGCCCTTTCAGCCTCCCCTTCCAATGGGGGGGGGGGTTTCTATTAAAAACTCACCTCATCTAACCCTCACCCAGTTCTGGACACCTGTTAGCCGGTATGTAAGGTGGAGGAGCCCTACGTCGGAGCTTCTCAGACGTTTCAATGCTGAATTATACCTGCAAAATACCTTTTGCAAAAGTTATTCTGTCCTCTGTTGTGAACCACATTTTTTTTCTCCCCCTCCCCCTTTTAGGCCCTTTCTATGAGCCGATTACTATGGTTTGTTTTATTATTGTTCCTGTTTTGATGATGTATTTTGTGTTCTTATCTTGTATTTTTATGCTGTCAACCGCTCTGATTTCTTGATATGAAGGGTGGTATTCTTGATATTTCTTGATATGAAGACAGTGCCTGGCGTGCTCTAGTTCATGGGGTCACGAAGAGTCGGACACGACTAAACAACAACAAATTCAAATGTAATAATAATAATATGGCCATATCCCCACGTTTCTTTTAAAGCACACTTAGAACAATTTAAAGAACTCTTATAACCACTTGGCTTCCCCAAGAGAATTCTGGGACCTGTGATTTGCTAAGGGTGCCGAGAGTTGTCAGAAGTCCCCTATTCCCCTCACAAAGTGTTACAATTCCCAGAGAGGCTTAACAACCTCTTCCCAGAGAATTGAAGCTTTGTGAGGGGAATGCATGCTTAACAAACTATGGTTCCTGGGGTGCTTTGGGGAAAACCATTACTGCCAAAGAGGTCTGCTAGTGCTTCACTAGTTTTGTGCATGTGGCCTGTACTTTAGAACAGGTGCACAGACTGCTCAATTAGCCACATGGGCTAACTGAAGAGATTGGGAAACTTTAGCTATGGTTTTTCTGCATCATTGGCTGACCAGCTCCTGCTCCAACTCTAACAATCCTAAACCATTTGAGCACATTAACAAGTCAATATGCAAGAGGTATGTATTGGAGAGAAAGTGCCGTACCAGTATAGAGATCAAATACTCTTTCCACAATTTTAGAAGCTTTTTAAAGCATAGAATCAGAAGATTCTGTGGAGTAGGATAGCTCTTTTAAAAAACACTATATTTGTCTGGTACAGCAGGTTGACAGGCATTATCTAAGGGCACATATACACCATACATTCCAAGCATTATTATATCACCGACATTGATGCCAAAATCCAGCACTGCTTGAACTCTGTGAGTGCGGCTTTCTCCCGACTGAAGTGCAGAGTGTTTGAGGACTGGGACATTCGCAGGGAAACAAAAATGTTTGTTTACAAAGCTATTGTACTGCCCACTTATAAATGCTAACTCCTTGAAAGATTCCATCAACGGTGTCTGCAAAATTTTTTACACATCACTTGGGAAGACAGGCAAACTGTCCTGGTCCTTAAACACTTGGCGCTTCAGTTGGGAGAAAGCTGCACTCGCAGAGCTCAGGCAATGCTGGATTTCAGCATCAATGTTGGTCCTTGGGGAAAGATAACTGCCCAGGTAGGAGAAGTGATTGACATTTTCCAACATTACACCATTAAGCTGGATTTGTAATGCTGCAGAGGGGTTGTTTCGTGCTTGTTGGTGCAGCACTTTGTTTTTTTGGCTATTGAGTGATAGGCCAAGCTTTCCATAAGCTTCTGCGAAGATATTTAGGATGGTTTTGAGGTTATCCTCTGAGGGTGTACACACTACATTGCCATCAACATCATAGTACTTTAAATATATGGTGTGAATGTGGCCTTAGTTGCCTCCTTGGGCTTTAAATGGGCAACAAAAGACAGATGAGCATGCTGCAAACGGATGTAAAAAGGCAGTGTTGGGAAGCTTGCTCTCTAACATTAATTCATTAATCAATCTAATAATTGTTATTCACCTTAGGGTTCAGGGTTTCATTACATATATATCTCACATTTCATCCAAGAAGCTCAGGTTGGCATACACAACAAGGTAGGTTAGGCTAAGAGGTGGTTGCTGTCCTGGTGAGCTTCATGACTGAGAGGAGATTTGAACTCTTGTCTCCCGGGTCCTAGTCCAACTACTAAACCACACTGACACTAGTCCTCCTGCAACCAACGTACATCTCCTGACCTGTGAGGAAAAGGAAGAGTGTGATGTAGGCAGGCAAAGAGAAATTCAGGCCTGCTCCAGCCAAACTCGCCTCGCTGCCCCCTGCCCCCTGCTCAACTTTAAATGAAACATCATTTGTTTTAGTCCTTTAACATTGTAAACTACATTGGGTGCCTTTGGCAGAATAGTGGAATATAAATGCAATGGATAAGTAATAAATAAACAGAATACCTTAGCTGTCGAAGGCCAGAGTAGGGAGTTGTGTGTGTCTTCCAGCAAAGGTTGTGCAATGACAATCCTTGATGCACCTCTGTGGGGAAGGAGTTCCACAATTTACGGGCTGCCACAGAGAAAGCCCTCTCCCAAAAGTCTCTGCACTTCTGAGGGTGGAGAAATTATCATATTCTGCTTGCTGATGACATCATTTTCTGCTTGCTGATGGCATTGTCTATAGTTACGTATTGTATCTTAGATTTTTACGTGTTAGATTTTTGGGGTTGGGTGTTTCTTTAAGGTGTTTATATACAACTTTTCAGGTGGGCCTTACAATACAGTTTACATAGGATTATTTCCTATAGGATCAGCATGAACAATTGACAAAAGGAAAATGAAACATTTACAGTTCATTTCCACACACAAACAGAGAGAGTGGGAGAGAGATGTCTGATGGAGCTTACTCCCAGGTAAGTGTGTGTAAAATTGCAGCTTAACTGTGTAAACAGTAGGATGCCATGCACAGAAATAAGTTCTGCTGATTTCAGCTCATTTTACTTCCATGTAAACATGCGTAAGATCACTGCTCATGTAAAGCTGAGTTAGCAATAGTATCTGAATTCATTCACTTGCTCCTTGACAGTTTAACATTGTAAACACTTCGAGTTATATACTTCTCTTCTATTTGTATAAAGCCCTAGGCACAGTTTACAGCATTGTATAAATAATAGCAATATCTATACTGTAAACTGCTTGCTTCCCATTGTGTTATTTTCAGAACACTTCTTCTAAAATGTGACACATAATCTGAGCTGGTTTTTTCCACTCCATTTCTCTGATTTTATGCCAGAGCAGCTCTGCTGAAGTCAACTGTGCAGTGTTTAGCGCAAAAGTATTGTTAACACAGCAGAACAGAAGCCTCTCTGATTTCTGGTAATCCAGTTTTGAAAATTCTCTATCATCTATGATGAAGGCTCATCGCAATAGAGCATTTGTTCACAGAAAGGCCCAGCTTGCCATAAAATGGCGCACTAGGCACTACTAGTGTTGGATGTATTAGAGACATTGTGGAATGACTGAATATGGAAGCCCATATTCTGAAGACTTGCAGAGCTCTGGCCCACATTTCTTTATCTCCTTACATTCACAGAGAAAGTGACACATTTCCGAGCACAATTCAAAGTGTTGGTGTTGACCTTTAAAGCCCTAAACAGCTTTGGTCCAATATACCTGAAGTCTCCACCCCCATCGTTCTACCTGGACATTGAGGTCCAGCGCCAAGGGCCTTCTGGCGGTTCCCTCATTGCGAGAAGCCAAGTTACAGGGAACCAGGCAGAGGGCCTTCATGGTAGCGACATCCACTCTGTGGAACGCCCTCCCATCAGATGTCAAAGAGAAGAACAACTACCAGACTTTTAGAAGACATCTGAAGGCAGCCCTGTTTAGGGAAGCTTTTAATGTTTAACAGACCACTGTATTCTAACACTTTGTTGGAAGCCGCCCAGAGTAGCTGGGGAAACCCAGCCAGATGGGCGGGGTATAAATAAAAAAATTATTATTATTATTATTATTACTACTACTACTATTACTATTACTATTACTATTATTTATTTTGTCTGTGAGGGAGAGAGCATGGCTATGTTCGCTGGTCCTGGCCCCTTCATTGCATCCCTGATGGTCCTACCCCCATCATCCATATGGTTTGAGGAATGGTCTGAAGGGATACATATTAGGCAGTATACATATAAGCTCCCCACTGCCTAATGCAGTGTTTCCCAACCGGTGTTCCGCGGCACACGAGTGTGCCGTGAGACGTTGCCTCGTGTGCCGCGAGATGCCTGGAGGGAGGCGGGCGAGTCGGGCGGCGAGAGGCGGGGCGGCGACGGCGAGGAGAGGCCGCGCCTCCTGCTGCTGCCTGGCGCTCCTCCTCGCAGCCGGCAGCGCTGCCTGGGCGCCTCCGCGCGACTCTGCCTCGCTGGGTTTGGTCTCCCAGCAGAGACAGGTCACACGCGCCCCTCCCTCCCTCCCTCAGCCTGCGCGGAGGGAGAGCCAGAGAGAGGCATCGCTCCTGCGCGGCGGGAGAGGGAGCAGCCGGAGCGATGCCCCAAACGAACGCATGGGACCGGAGGGGAAATCCTCTCCGAGGCGGATTGAGCGCAGCTGAGAGAAGCCTTTCGAGGAGCTGCCGTGTCCCCTGGAAACCCCCTTCCCAGCTCTGCCTCAGCCGCCGCCGCCTCAGTTGCCGCCGTCCCT